ATAGTGATGTATACAAGACATCAGAAAGTGCATTTTGCATGAGTTTAAATGGGGCAACTCTTTCTGGAAACATGTCTTACTACAAAGAAAAAACAGATTGTGTTCCCCAGGGTTTTTTCTGCATACCAAAATGCAGATTTCCCCGTAAAATGTTAGTGATGCCAGAAAAGAATATTTCTGTTTGTTTATGACTCCAGAAATATGAGTATCAAACAGAGCGTCAGACGGCAGAGACAGCTTTGTCTTTACGGAGCTCTGACGTCACGAGAATTTATATATCTTATATACAAGATCAGCGCCACAGTATTGCCCAAATTGTAAGTAAATATATATTTGTTTCTGCAGCAGGACGGCGATGGGACGATGTCGACCATGGTGGTGGAGAAACAGAAGCTGGACAACAAAGTGGAGCAGATGAAAGAAATAGTGCAGGTAAACACACCTGTCGTGTAACGGTCTATCTCCATCAAGGAAGGGCTTCTTGTCGTTAATGTCTTCTCTCGCGGTGCAGCTGGCAGATCAGAACATCAAGAAGCTGGAAGATCAGCAGGACGAGTACGACTTCATCGTCGACACCCTGAAGAACAGAGGTGGGGAAACGTCAAAGCTGTTGTTGTGTTTATTAGATGCTGCATTAGGGCCAGAGTACGCACAGAAACTCAGTGATGTTGTTTAGGATTCTACGATCGCCTCATTCTAATCACTCTGTTGTTTCCTCGTGAATAGTGTCTATTGCTAAATATCAAAATATAGTTTGATAAATCATCTGCAGGTAAAATGTAAGTTGCTTCAACCTTGTGAGTCTAAAATCTCAACGTTCATTCCCCCCTAAATGTACCACTTCAATATCCAATAATATCAACATTTCTTGGGCTTTAATGTCAGAAATTCTAGTTGTTTTCTAGCATTATACACGGGGGGGGGGGGAACATCACTTTCTCAGTGAGGCACTCAGAGGAGAACCAGCAGTCATAGGGTGTTTCTCAATCTCGAGGATGCATGTCCAGAGGATGCATGCAGAGCTGTGATTGGCTGAGATAAGTCCGGCCGTGCGTCACGCCTCCACCGTTCCCGGAAATGCATCCGTGGAGGAGCCGTGGAGGACCCATCAGTGTCTCCTCGGTTAGAGCTCCTCCAGAGAGCCTCCTCGACGCTCGATGCTCGGTGCTCGATGTGCATTTAGAGAAATGAGATGTCCTTCAACATGGCGCGCTGAAATTCATTTCCGGGTCACTACCGGAGGACCGAGGAGTCGAGGGCCCTTTCTCACTTCTGTTATTTTTAATTTCCTCGCTCCTCGGTCTCGGTCTCACCGGAGGTTGATTTGTCTGCGCCATCTTGAGTAGCGTCCCAATGGCCTT